TTCTTCAGGTCCATTCATACTGATGAAGAGGGTAAAATTTCTTATTTTTTTACAGCCAAATCGTATTCCATTGTGCAAATGTCCCATAGATGTTTTATCCATTCATCTATTGATGGATACTGGGGTTGCTGACACATCTTGACAATGGGAAATAATGCTGCAATGAATATAGGGGTGCTTATGTTCTTTAGAATTAGTATTTTGGATTCCTTCAAGTATATTCTAGGAGTGGGATGTTTGAGACAAAAGGCAGATACATTGTTAATTTTTTTAGGCATCTCCATACTGCCTTCCACAGTGGCTGCACCAGTCTGCATTCTCACCAAAGTGCAAAAGGGTTCCCCTTTCCCCATTTTCTCGCCACCACTGGTTTGCTGATTTGTTGATGATGGTCATTTTGACAGGTATGAGATGGTATCTTATTGTGCTTTTATTTGCATCTCTCTGATGATTAGTGATGTTGAGCATCTTTTCATATGTGTATTGGCCATCTGTATGTCCTCTTTAAAGAAGTGTCTCTTCAGGTCCTTCATTTTTTAATTGGGTTGTTTGGTTTTTGGTGTTGTGTTTTATAAGTTTGTTATAAATTTTGGATATTAACCCCTTATCAGATGTGTTATCAAATATGTTCTTCCATTCTGTCGGCTGTCATTTTATTTTGATGATGGTTTCCTTTGCTGTGCAAAGCCTTTTTAGTTTGATGAAGTCCCATTTATTTATTTTTTCTTTTGTTTCCCTTGCCTGGGAGATATATCCAATAAAAAATTTGTATGAGCAATGTCTGAAAATTTTCTGCCTGTGTTTTCTCTCTTTTTATGGTTTTGGATCTAATATTAAATCTTTGATCCATTTTTTAATTCATTCTTGTGTTCGGTGTAAGAAGGTGGTTGAGTTTCATTTTCCTGTGTATATCTGTCCAATTTTCCCCAAAATATTTATTGAATAAACTTTCTTTAGCCCATTCTTTGTAACTGCTTCCTTTGTTGAATATTAATTTCCTATAAACATGTAGATTTACTTCTGGGTTCTCTATTCTGTTCCATTAGTCCATGTGTTTGTTTTTATGTCAGTATCAGGCTGTTTTGATTACTATGGCCTTATGGTACAGTTCGATGTTACATAGCATGTTTCCTCCAACTTTGTTCATCCTTTTCAGGATCATTGTTGGTATGTGGGGCCTTTGTTAGTTCCATATAAGTTTTTTAAATATTTGTTTTAGTTCTGTGAAACACATCACTGGAATCTTGATTGGAATTGCATTGAACCTACAGATTCCTTTGGGTAGTATGGACATTTAAATGATATTAATTTGTCCTATCCACGAACACAGTACGTGCTTCCACTTATTTGTATCTTCTTCAGTTTCTTTCTTCACCTAATAATATAATGCCAGAGTCATATGACAATCATTTTACAACACTGGAAGCTGTTACCTTTTTCATTTGCCCAAAGTTATTGTGCTATTTTAGGTGTATGGGCACTCTAGTTGCTTTAAATCTTCACCCCCACTTGGTATTTTGTGGTTGCTGTTGATTAAAATGTAAACCATTTTAATAGGCATATGTGGTATCTTATTATGGTTTAATTGATATTCCTTAATGACTAATGATGCTGCACAAGTATATAATCCATATATATCTTCTTTGGTAAGTATGTGATTAAATCTTCTGCCAATTTAAAAAATGATGTTGTTTCTTTTCATATGATTAAATTTGAGGTGTTCTTTATATACATTGAATATAAATGTGTATATGTTAAATATAAGTATTGCAAATATTCTCCGATACTCTGTAGTTTGCTTTTCATTTTCTTAACAGTGTTTTTAAGGAGCAACAGTGTTTTTTATATTTAACATAAACAATTTGTGTTTTCTTATATTTTAGTGATGATATTGTGCCATATTTAAAAATAATCCTTACCTAGGGAAAAGCCACAAAAATCCATATCATGTTTCTTCTAGAAGTTTCATGGTTGTACATTATGCACTATTTGTTGAAAAGACTATTCTTTGTCCACAGAAATGTGTTTGCACTTTTGACAAATATTAATTGACCATGCATGTATGTGTCTAGTTGTGAATTCTATATTCTGATCTATGGATCTAGTTTGGAACTCTACATTGATCTATATTTTAATCTTTATACTAATGCTGCATTCTCCTGATTGCTGTAACTTTATAACATATCTTCCAACTTTGCTATTTTACAAAAGTTCTTTTGATTATTGTATTGGTCAGGGTTCTTTAGAGAAGAAAATTGATAGGATATTTGTGTATGTGTGTGTATGTGTGTGTATCTCCTGAAAGTTCCCCAAATCTGCAAGTTGAAACAGCAAGCAGGCAACTCAAAGCCTGCCTGGCTTGATATCCAGGAATAGCTGATGTATCAGTTAGAGTGTTAAGGCAGGAACAGGCAATGTCCTAGTTTTGAGCAGTGAGGCAGAGGAATTCTCTCTTACATGAAGGATAGTCATGCATTTTGTTCTATTCAGTAGTTCAGCTGATTGGATGAGGCCCATCCATATTAGGGAAAGCTATCTGTTTTGGTCAGCCTAACAACTTAAATATCAGTCTCATCTGAAAACACCTCCACAGAAACATCCTGAATAATATTTGATGAAATACTTTGGCATTCTGTGGCCCAGTGAAGGTGACATATAAACCTAACCACCCCAGCTACTGTAGGTCCTTTCCATTTCAATATCAATTTCAGTCCATTGAATTCTATAAAAAAGCCTGCTGGGGTTTTGATTGAAATTATATTGACTCTGTATATCAGCTTGGTAAAATTAAAATAAACATACTGGGTCTCCTGACCCATAAACATTGTATATCTCACTATTAATGTAGGTGTCCTATAATTTCTTAGCCAATGTTTTGTACTTCTTGGTGCATAGTTCTTGGATTTATGTTGCTGTTGGGATTGTCTCTGGTAGTTTGTATTTTTTATGTTGCTGTAAGTGGTGCTATCTATTTCTAATACTTGTAATTTGTGTGTGTGTGTGTGTGTCTCTCTCTCATATAAGTCTTAACAAAGATCAATTTGCTGAAAGAACCAACTTTTTTCATTGTTTTTCTCTCATTGATTTCTACTCTTATCTTTATTATTTCCTTTTGTTCATTTGCTCATGGTCCATCTGCTTCTATTTATATAGTTTCTCAAGGTAATGTCAAACACACATTCATTAGAAACCTTTATTGTTTTCTAGTTTAGATGTTTACTGTTATAATTTCTCCTTTTGCTTGAGCTGTACCCAGTAAATCAGTATGATGTGTTCTTATTTTCACTATTTCAAAATATTTCTAAATTTTCTTTGACTTCTCATTTGATTCACGTGTTATTTAGAAGCACACTATTCAATTTTCAAATATTTGAGATTATCTTTTAATTAATGATTTTTAATTATTTTCTTGGTTAAATACATCTGTACTGTTTGAATCATTTTGAATTATATGAGCTTTGTTTTATTGCCTACAGTAGACTGCATGCTCCTCAGAAACGTTCTATGTGCACTGCAAAAGGACGTACATTCTGATGTTCTTAGGTGAAGTGTTCTACAAATATCAGTTTGATTAACTTGTTTAATATTGTTGCTCAATTCTTTCTAAGTCCTTTCTAATTTTTCTGTCTGTTTGTCTGCAGGGGCTAATGTGGATTTGTCTACAAGGTCTTCCAGAAGGTATCTAGCCATGAAATATGAAAAATAGCAATATTTACTGAAGATGATACAAGACATGAAAAACATTGTACATAGGACAATGATGCCTCAGTCCTCTTCAAAGTAGACACCTTGGGACCTCACACAGTTCTCCCAGTCACCACCAGCTGCCCCATCATATTTTCCTGAATCTCATTGACAGTCTGAATTTTTTTCTTTTTCACAGGAGATTTAATTTCGGAAAAATTTAGAAGTCACAGGATGCCAAATCTGGGCTGTAGGGGAGCTGAGTCACCTGGGAGACTTGATGTCTTGCAAAAAACTCTGCATGAGGTGTGATTTGAGAGCAGGCACATTGTTGTGGTGAAGCTGCCAATCACCAGTTGCCCGAAACTGCGGCCTCCTAAAACATCCCAAAAGTTTCCACAAACGAACATTCAAACTTAACACAAAACTTGACACACATTTGTTGCTCTACTCACTCAGTCATTTTGAATACAACAGCCACACAATACACATTCTCACTGATGGTGTCTACTACCCCGACTGATTAATACAGTGAAGTCATCATTGTTCACACCTTCCTATTCCAATCCACCCTCCTACACTGCCAGGTTACACCGAGAGCACATGAAATGTTCTCATTATATTAATGATGGCTAGACTTTCTCTGATAGACATTGCATTTCTCTTTTCAATTTTAACAGTTTGTGCTTAAATATTTTGAATCTTTCTTACAAAGTACATAAAATCTAGGGATCTGTTTTGTATATTTTTTATAAATTTATCCTTTGTCATTATGCAACTATTCTCTTTATTCTTTTTCTAAAATCTAGTGTGATATTAATAGAAGCACCCTTATTTTCTGAAAGATATAGCATAGTATATCTTTTTCATTATTTTACTTTTAACATTTTCTAATTATATATTTGATGTGATTATCTTGTATGCAGCATGTAGTTGGGCCTTGCTTTTTATTGTGTACAATATAACAGGTTCTGTCTCTTAATTGGAATACTTTGTTTTGATTATAGAGAATGATTCATTTAAATCTACCATTTTGCTCTATTTTCTGTGTGTGTCCATCTGTTCTTCTCTTTCTACTTTATTTTAGACAAATTAAATATTTTTAAATCCAATTTTATCTCCATTGTTGGTTTATTGTGTTCTTTTTAATGATTGTTTTAGAATTTATGTACATCTTTAACTTATCACACTTTGCCTTTAAGTGATAGTACCTTATGTTTAATATAGGAACCTCTCATAATTGTATATTTGCATTTATCTCTTCGTAGACTTTGTGTTATTCTCACTGGAAAAGAAAAGAGAGAATAACAGCCCCTGTGCTTGCTTCAGCTGCACATACACTAACACTGGAAGGATGCAGAGAAGGTTAGCCTGGCCCCTGAGCAAGGATGGCATGCAACTTCATGAAGAGTTCCATATTTTTGAAATGAGCAAATAAACTTGCCTTTTGCTTCTAAAAAATGTAGCTCTTGACATCAAGGGACTAATATGATCCTCATAGCTAAGACTTAATGCTATTACAAACTGAATAATGATATATTATGCTTTTATTTAATATAACAATGTGTCAGAATGTCTATATAAGGTTACTCTGAGACTGTGATGAGATGAGATAAAAACCTGGTCACTGGGAAATTCAAAAAATACTAAACATCCCTCATTCTCACTAAGTGAATTTACCAGTTACAGCTTTATTCTCATACTTTTCTGTCCTCCTATATTCTCTGTCCTCCTATAGAAAAAATTTATTGACATGCCCTATTATACAGTTGTCCTGTTTCTGTCAGCACCCAATCAAGAATGAACCCCTACTTATTTAATACATACTTTAAATTACCCACCCAGAGCCTAAACACTATAGTAGTTTTTTTTAATATCCCATTACTAAGGCACCTGCTAGTTCCCAAAGCTGTGCTCCAATAATTGCAACAAGTAATAAACTCAAGGTGTTTAACTGCAAGTTCTCTCTTGGTGGTCATTGGTTGAAGAGCATTGACATTTTATATATTTTCTTCTACATATGTTATAAAACAAGGTTACTATGCGAGGATGTGGAATCAATAAAAATGCTTAAATGTTATCTTTGAGAAAAAAAAGTATAATCATTTGACCACCATTTTAATATTAGCTTATAAAAATGAGAAGGTAAACCACCTATGACCCATACTCCTTGATAAAGGATCAATAAATATATGTACTCAGTAATATCTTCAATATGCCCAAGCAATTCTTTTTATAATAGAAAAAAGCTGGAAAGAATGATTTCATCAATATGGAAATGGATAAATAAATCAACTTGTTCATATAGTGAACATTAGTGAAATACATGTGCATGCATTAAAATGAACAAATTTCCTAGTCAATAAGAGAAACATTTACCAATATGATATAATTAAACATAAAGAGTAATTCATACAATGCTAAACAATATGTGGTTGAGCATGTGTAGATTTATTCAAAACTATAACCACAAAGTTATAAACAAAGTTTGATAAGTGGTTTATCCATGGGTGAAAGGAGAAAAAAGCTGGAATCAGTGATAAATGCTCATCATAAAAAGGGCTCAAGAATATAATTATTTTGCCATTTCTCGACACCTAATTTGGATTGCGAACGAATGAATTCTTACATTTTTACCATGTACAAACTATGCATGGGGCTGTTTATGTTATATACATAAATATTTTCTTATAAGAAAACGCACTTGTATATGTTAATAATATAATCCTAATTTGAAAATAAGGTAAAAATGACTGTGTGATCTATAAAGACCATGCTTGGGCATCGTATAGTCTGCCTGAGTGCATGAGGCTGTCTCCCTCTTCCGATGAATTCATACTTTGAACGATTGCTTGGGGCTAGCATAGTTTAGAATTCTGTAAAATCTAACAAGGGTGATATTTTATTGTCTACTAAGGAGAAGATAACTCCAAAAGTTTAGCAAAAATCAGTTGTTTGTAATTTACTAATCTCACTGTATTATTCCTTTTCTTCACCAACTCTATAAAATCATAATTCTCAGATCTCTAAACTAGCTTTGCATTCTGCGGATTCCCTCAGTAAGTAACTAAAATTTGGATACATGCATTTGCTTGAGCATCATGTTTTCAACACTTTGAGAATTATAACTAACTCTTACAGAAGTCCCACTGAGATGTTACACTCACTGGATTGGAAAGCAGCTCATGGACCAAGGAAGTTACAAGTACAACTTTGAAATCTCTGGCCTTCCCGATCAGCGAGTTCCTGCTGAGTTGTGACAGAATGGCCTTATTTTCAAAGCTTCGTATGTTAATGTCTAATGACCTAAGACATATTTATATTTCAAAAAGTATAAAATATAAAAGCCTATTAGTGTCCTGGCTGGTGTGGCTCAGTGGATTGAGCACCAGGCTGAGAAGCAAAGGGTTCTCCTGTTCGATTCCCAGTCAGGGCACGTGCCTGGGTTGCAGGCGAGATCCCCAGTTGGGGGTACACGAAAGGCAACCACACATTGATGCTTCTCTCCCTCTCTCCATCCCTTCCTTCCCCTCTGTCTAAAAACAAATAAATAAAATCTTTTAAAAAACTTAATAGTAATGACTGAAAGCTGTTGAAAGACAGTTAAGGCCTTGTTATTGTTTGTTATTTTTCAGATAGGAGTCTGAAATATCAAGTCTGGCTTAATTTTTGGAGTTAATTTTTGGAATTCAGGGCAATTTGTGCCTTCAAATTCAGAGCTTTGTCCATCTGGTTCTGGTTGGATACCTGTCTTTTTAGTTCTGAAACTTGTATACTGTCTGGGATGCCACTATTTCAACGTAAAGATCTGTGAAGGCTTAAAAAGATGAAACTAGATAATAAACTTTGAGTGTAAGATAGTGCTTCCTCTGTTTTAGGAATTTCAAGATTTCATGGCTTGGGGAGCTTCGTTTCACAATGCAAGCTCAAGAGAAAATGTTTTATAACTAAAGAAAAAGTGAAATTATATATTTATATACAAACAGACAGACACATATACACACATATATGTACATATAGATATCAAGCCATGTAATATGATAAATAGAGACATTTATTTGTATCTTGTACCTTGAAGAAGACACAAGAAACATTGTACACAGGACCATGATGGCTCAGTCCCCTTCAAAGTAGGCTCCTTGGGACCTCACTTAGTTCTCCTAATTGCCATCAGCTGCCCTGTCATATTTTCCTGAATCTCATTGATGGTCTCAAATTGCTACCTTTTCAAAGGTGATTTCAGTTTTGGGAAAAGCCAGAAGTCACAGGACACCAAATCTGGGCTGTACAGGGGTTGAGTCACCTGGGTGATTTGATGACTCACCAAAAACCTCAGCACAAGTCATGATGCATGAGCGGTACATCAGGATGCGTGTCATCCTGATGAAGCTGCCAATCACCAGTTGCCCATAGCTGCAGCCTTCTGAATCATCCAAACAGTTTCCATGGGAGAATGTTCAAGCTTCACACAAAATTTGATGCAGATTGGTTGCTCTATGCACTCAGTCATTTTGAATGTGACGACCACACAGTACATATAGTCACTCAATGGCGTCTACCCTCCCCCACTGATTAGTACAGTGAAGTTGTCATTGTTCACACATGCACATTCCAGTCCACTCTCCTTGGCTACCAGGTTACATTGATGTCATGCAAACCATTCTCATTATATAACAGTGGTTGGACTTTTCCCGTACAGACTCGTGTGTGTGTGTATGTGTGTGTGTGTGTGTGTGTGTATTTAGGGTAAAAAAAATCATGCATTCTTAGAGGTCTGCCTACTTGAGTTTTATTTATTTATTTTTTGGTCTCTTTAATTCCACAGGAGTTGTTTTCATGTAGTTCTGTGCCTGTATTTTATTTCATCTATGGGTAAAAATGTAGAACAGAAGTTGTAAGCTCTTTGTGGTTTTAGGCATTTTATCTGTAAAAGCAGAGAGTCTTCTTTCTTGCTGTGTTAATATTAGTGTGAAATTCTTTTCTAGGATAAAAGAACAAATTAGATTATACTTTTTTTAACTTTAAAGCAGTTCCTATTCTGACCAGCTAGTAAAGAATAGATGTGTATATGAGTCTGATCAAAGTGGTCATTTAAATCAAATGGGATCTAATTTGGGTCTACAGAAAAGACAAAGATGCTAAATGAATACTTCAAATATACTAATATTTTCAGGAAGAAAAAAATGCCTTCTCTCAGAGGCTGCTAGTACAGTCACCACTTTGGAAAACTTTGTGTAGAATATAATAAAATTATTTATTTTAAATTTCAAGGATTGGGTTTGTTTTTCCTTAGAAATAACTAGTTAATAGAAAAGCTCTTGAGCTTTTTCTGTCATCAGGATGGCAAACTAAGAAGTCCCTCAGCCTCTCGTTGCTCCCAGAAATCCTCCTTCAACAACAGAGGGCAAACGGAAGAATCTCCTGCTGGCCTTTAGGTTGAGAGCCATGTGGCAAAGACTTGAGGACAATGTCTAGGATCTAAGAGTGACCCCCAATTCACCAGCCAAAAAGCAAGGGGGACCTTCATCCTCGAGTGACAAGGTTATATACTAACAGCTGACATAAGTTTAGAAGACCCCGAAATTCAGTTAAGATTATAGTGTTAGCCAGCCAGACACCTTGATTTCAGCCTGCCCGCACTGAGCAGAGAACCAAGTACACCTTGCCTGGACTCCTGAGCCATGAAAACTGAGATACTGCATCTGTGTTATTTTAAGTAGGAAAAGGGGTGGTAATTTATTACACAGCAATAGAATACATGCAATATTGATACTGTATCTTTTTCTACTTGTAAATAAATATGTAGAACATGGAGTATATACTTGTGAGCTATACTGATCTTACGCATAGCACATATATAATTATCATTCTCTCAATTTTCTATATGTCTGTAGAAAACATTCAGTTACAACTGTAATTAATACAGATGATCAAGACTATGATAGAACCAATGATATTAAAGAAATACAACCATGTATTGAAGGTTGTGTATGAACATTTTAATCAATACTATAGTTTCAGGTTATCAAAAGGAAAAAGAGCTAAAAAGACTAGTACCTTAAACTTAAAATGTGTAATTGTACCAGAAGATGAAACAAGATATTAAAATATCAATGTGCAGAAATATAGAAAGTGGTAGAATTTTTGAGGGAAAGTGAACATTTGAGGAAAATTTCTTGCCTTTTCTTTCTTCCTTTCTTATTTTAAAAATAGTTTTATTTATTTATTTTTTTTAGAGAGGGAAAAGAAGGGAGAAAGAAAGGGAAAGAAACATAAATGTGTGGCTGCCTCTCAGTTCCCCAACTGGGGACCTGACCTGGAACTCAGGTGTGTGCCCTGACTGGGAATAAAACCAGTGACCCTTTGTTCACAGGCTGGCACTCAGTCCACTGAGCCACACCAGCCACAGTGGCCCTTTGGTTT